GTGTTCGTAACCTTTTGGGTCTCACTCTTGATGACTCCCTTTGCTACTAAAAGAGGGTTGACAAGCCAGGCCAGAAGATGTTATCACTCTAAAGCAAGTCCAGGTCCAAACAAAATCAATTTGATTGAACAATGAAAAAAATGCATATGCACACAAACTAAGTTTAGATTTATTCCAGCAAGGATATCTCTTCAAACCTGAAGTTGAGTTCATATGCAATTCTTCGTGAATTTCTGGTTCTGCGGGCACAGATTTATCTCCACTGTGGTCGGCAGCCTCTTCCGTAGCACTGAGACAGTTCAATATTGTTAGCGACAGAGCAGTATGTAGCAAATGCAGCAAATCTGTGTTAAAAAGTGCACCCTTCTTTAATACAAAAACCGACCTTGTGAGAGGCACAGGGTTCCCATGTGGTACCTCATCTGCATTCCCCTGTGGTACCTCATCTGCATTCCCCTGTGGTACCTCATCTGCACCACAAAAACCATTCAAGAATACATTAAACCAGGATATTCAATTATTCATGTAGTTCAACAATTACATTAATTCAAACATGGTTATAGCAAACTGAGCAGAATTTCATCAAAGATTGAAAAAAATGGCAAAGGATCTACCAGGATGAACATCAGATGCAGCATGGCATTCTTGGACAAGATTGCCACTGTCATTCGGTGCAGGATCCACAGAATCAACAGCACCCTAAAATAAGAGAAATGAACTGATAAATAAGAGAAATTATATATAGTTTGCAAAAGGGACTGTAGATAATGTTTGCAGGGCCATGCTTATACTATCAAATAAAGATTCAACACTTCTCTGGTGTATCTAAATTACGGCCATGGATACAGGAAAATTCACGACTCACATGGTTTCCATCTTTAGTTGGTGAAATAGGTAAGGAGCACTCATTGGCTGGTTCTGCTGCAGCAACTTTATCAGAACCTAAATTACATGAAACAAATTAGTCGTTTACAGCCAAAAGACATGTTCTTGACAATCGGAGTACGCACCATGAGTGATTCGGCGTCATAAAAAGCTCACGTGTGTAAAGAAGAAATCTCACCTTCATAACCCTGTACAGACTGTCCAACTTCATCACGAGTACCTGGCGAGAGTATAGAGACACCATTATCAAACAATCTGGAAGTAGAACCATGAGGCCTCGACTTAGAAGCTTCTGCAGTTTCAGAAAATCTAATGTGATCTCTTCGCATATCAAAGTTCTCCCAGAAGTTGGAACTGGAAAGGAAGTCTTCCTTGGTGTCGACCTTCAGAAAGAAAAATACTTACAAGTGAAAATGCAAGAATAGTTGGCAGTATATAATAAGTTTTGGTGAAATAATAGAAATAAAGCATGCAAACATGTGACTGCACAATTTTCATGCCATATTAACATGCTTATATCGAATACGGTCACAATGTTATATTCCGAAATTTAATGAATGTCTACAGTCAATAGCAAATGCAACAATGTGTTCAAAGAAACAAGTTCATGCACAAACAGTTAAGCAGCAATTACAGAGTTCATATGTATCTCATTCAAGACTAGAATACTGATCAGCAAAAATAATGAAGCAGATGTTACAGAGTTCCTACTAATCCAAATTATCCCTCAAAAACTAGGCTGAACATAATTGCAAATTCTGGCAATTCCATTGTGACCTGGCAGAAAACTGTTGCTCCTATATTTTGAATTACCTTCGATGATGAGAAGTATTTGGATCCTTCTTCATCATTAATATGTACTCCACCGGAGGGTGGAGATTTAAATCTCCGACTGCCTAATAAAGGGGACTGCCATGGTGGCAATGACTGCATGTATGATTTTGCTAAATCGACAGGAGAACCCTTGTCAGATTTGAGGTCCTGCATGAGATGCCAAGCCATTAAGGTAAACAACAACAGAAGCAACCAAGATAAACATTCATTCAGCTATGCAATCGCCTAAGAGTTCAAGGCTATAACCGTTAGAAAAGAAAAATACACCAGCACTCACAGCATTAAGCACATCAGTGTTCAATGTGCAAGGTCCATGATCTTCAGGCTTTGAGCCTAATCCCTGCCTTTTCTCTTCCAACCATTTCTTTGCTTCCATAACTGCTGCACTACATAGCTCAGGTGATGCTTGGAGAGGAGAGCCAGGAGAAAAGTTACCAGGTCCGGTACTAAAAAATGGACCTGACCCAGGGCCATTTCTATTGCGATTCAAGGAACGCCAAGCTCCAGTAAAATCATGGCCATTCCTGCTTGGGGTTTCTTTTGGTGTCCCATGCTCATAGGCTTCAGGAAATGCTGAATCTGTAACACGTGACTGTAATAGCTTTACCATCTTATCACATTCATCCCTGAAAAATGAACAGCAATAATTCAGAGGGAAAGTAGTAGATACGATCGAGCTTATTCAAGAAATCAAGGCCTAAACTTTATGTATCTACCAAATATAAACAACCAAAATGTCTCAGAAACAAATAGTATGCATAACAGTTACTTAAGTCAGGATTAGATCCATAGTGCTTCGAACTGCACTCTTTTCTTAGCCGTGCACTGCTAAAGAGAGCCAATCAGAGCTATAATCTCCATTTGAGGTATTAGTATCACTTGATCTTTCCTCTGATTCAAATTAAAAAGAAATATGTGGCTGCAGTTCATTATAGAAAGCTCTTGTCGACATCAGTTTCGATTGACAAAACATAAAGTCGATTCAATTAAGAAGCATCTCGTTACAGTTCATTATAGAAGCTCACAAGACCCACATCAGTTCTGATTGACGAAACAAAAAACTAGATTCTTTTACTACTAATAAGTACTCCCTCTGTCCCATAATATAAGAGCGTTTTTGACACTACATGTCAAAAACGCTCTTATATTATGGGACGGAGGGAGTATATCATTATAGAGGTTTACAAGACAAACACCAGTTTTGATTGAAGAAACACAAACTAAATTCTTAACCAGTGAATTCTAATTCATAGTGGCTGTCCAAAAAAAAGTCAACTAACTATACATATTAGCACGCGTATCTCTACTCCTATAAAAGACTCAGTTGGTGACGATGGTGTGTCTATCATCCGTCATTTCTGACCATTAGATCTGCATCTAACGACTGTGAGGTAAGTTGTGGCCTTTTTGCAACAATAGGCCACTTCTCTGCTCCAATTTGCAGAAAACCCCTTAGTATCTTGAAACCAACCACATCCCTCCCTCACCTCATCAAAAAAGCCCGAGGAATATATTTTGAGTGAAACATAATATAATTTTTTGTGATATATGTATATCAAAACTAAAGTGTTTTCTTTCAAGTTTGTGAACAAGTATTATTCTACTTTGGATCCGTTTGCAACACACGGGCACATTGCTAGTAAAAGAATAATATACTCCAGTTACCTTGAAAATGTTTCCTTCAAAACCATTTCCTCAATGGCAAGCTTTGACTCGCTGTAAGGAACTATTTTTCCATGAGTATCACGGGTATCTTCGTTTCCATCTGCACAAGTACTTGAAATTAACACATTTATAACATATCTAAGAATAATCCAACTGAATATGAAGTTGTGAGATGCACATAGCAGTGTGAGGACACATCAAACAGTCCAGGAAAGAAGAGATGACACGATGCAACTGAGGTCAAAGTTTTACATGTGAAACAAACTACTATGTGATGGAGCAGCATTCTAGTAGTATTTCTAAAATGTTTCAAGCTTACAAGGAAGCAATATATCTCAATCTCCCACCTACTAATGTTTATGAATTGAATGACTGACAGATTCTGCATCATTTCTGAACCCGGGATTGAGCAGTTCTCTAACCCTGCCAGAACTAACTTTTTAAACCCCCATATTCATTCCAAATACCTCCAAAGTAGCTTCCCACTAAAAAAATGAAGCAACTCCCATATTCATTCCAAATAGTACCTCCGAAGTAGCTTCCCACTCAAAATTAACCAAGTCTGACCAAAGCTCTTGACTGAGGTACATTCAGAACAATAATTCATCGTCTCAATTTTCAAATTCCACAACAAACGGGGGGAAATTTACGGTTTTCGAATTCGTCATCGTTTTATCCCCAATTCCACCTAGCGAGACAAAATCCTTACTCTACCGCAATCTATCAGGCGCTCGGCACTTCTGCTGCACCATTACTGCCGACAGTAGCCGCGGAACAGGCAAATTCAAAAACCAGTACTCTAATTTGAGAAGTCAAAACCGAAACCCTAGGTCGCGACCCGCGGCTGAAGCCCTCGCGCAGCACCAACTTGCCCATTATAGGTTACCACGGCCACTACTGACAGGTCTAAGTGAACGACCGAGCGCACTAGGTACGGAGCTCACTACACGGAGAGGGCGAGAAGCGGAGACAATGGGGGAAATGGGGAAGGGGGAGCAACTCACCGGAGTCCTGCTCGGAGCCGTCCTCCTCCTCCTCCTCCTCCTCCTCGTCCCCGGAGGCCTGCTCCTCGGACGAGGAGAAGAGCACGGAGGATATGACCCGCTTGGCCCCGGTGACGATGGTGGAGAGCCACCCGGGGCTCCTGCCCCCCTCCGCCGGCACCAGCGCGCCCTCCTCCGGCGAGAGGCGGCGGCGCTTGCCCCGCCCGGATCCGGATCCTTCGCCGTCGTCCCCTTCGTCCTCCGGCGATCGCCGCCGGCGAGCCCTGAAGAGGGACGCCATGGGAGCGCGAGGGAGAGAGCGTGCGGGAAGGGGAAGGGGAGCGTGTGACGCGAGGGGAATCCGAACCGGAAACGTGAGGAGGCGATTTTTGGAAGCGACGTCGGCGGAAACTGCTACGGCCACCGTTTTAAACGGGCCGCGCGGCCGCGCCGCCCCCATGACGCGCGGGCCCGCCCCGTGCGGCCGGCCCACCCGCAGGGACTGCGTGGGCGACCCGGTTGCGGCGCGCGGAGGTAAGTGGGACAAACTTTATCGGCTACTGGTTGTTGGCCTGCGCAAAGTGCAGCGCGCATTAACTGCTGCTAATCGTAATGCACGGTGGATTTGCGGTCGTACCCCTCGCATGAGGAGGAGGGCCCGCCGCGCAGTCGATTATTTCGGGCCCGCTTGGCTGTGACGGGTGTGGTGTTGGCTCCTTGCGAGGGTGTGTGTACGGGTGAGTAATGTTAACTGGCAAACCTCCGTCCAGATTCCGATGTGTAGGAACAGCGACGGTGCGTAGGTTTGGGTAATTGAATGAGCAGTGGGGCCGGGTGCTGCGGCGGATGGATAGGCTTCGGCCTGTGAGTGGTGGAATCTTGGGTTGGGTACTTGGGCGGGTGGACGAATGTTTTCTCTTCGGGGGAAGGGGAAAGGTGAAGGGTGGAGTGTGGCGGCTGGGAAAATGTCTCATTCGGGCCTGTCCTACACGCCGCCGCCGTATGTAGCGAATCACGTTTTTGTGGGTTTTTTTTTTTGCATGGTAATAAAGAGCTTTATTCAAACGATAAGGCGCCAGCACTATCAGCCATGAGGCTGGTTACCAGCAAACCCGGAGGAGAGTCCATCCAACACTCCGACACCTCCAATGTGCTCGCTTGTCTCGCACAGAGGTGGGCCGGGAAATTGGCATGTCTCTTTACATGTAGAATATCAAAAGAAATAAAACTAGCAGCTAGCTCCTCAATATCTAAGAGTAACGGCGCTATCAGAGAGCGCGAAATACGGCGCGAGTTCCAGAGGTTCACTACATCCAAACAGTCGGTCTCAATCTGCACTCGCTGAAAACCACGAAGTAAAGCCACCACCACACCTTCACGTACCGCGGTCGCTTCTGCCACAAGTGGATTGGTGATGCCAGGGATTGGTTTGCACCAAGCCGAGATGAATGATGAAGTTGACCGAGCCACTCCACCAATACCTGCTCTATGCTCCAATCACTACTAGGAAAAGGCCTACTAATGGCGCACCTAATTTGACCATTAATGGCGCATTAGTGGTGCGCCATTAGTGACACGCCATTAGTATATTTTACTAATGGCGCACCAGTGACACGCCATTAGTATCTGGTATACTAATGGCGGACCTCTGATGCGCCATTAGTATATACAACAGTGTGCCATTAGTATGCCTTCCAGGGGGCCATGTATACCCAGGTGCTTTGGCATACTAATGGCGCACAACAACAAGATGCGTCATTAGTAACTTCGGCATACTAATGGCGCACTGTGATGTGATGCGTCATTAGTATGAATATTAGGTTTTTTTTATTTTTTTATTTTCTGTTTTTTTGCACAGGTTACAAAATGTATAGTTGGATAAAATATAGACAGCACACATCAACAACAGATTCATCGAATACAATAGAAGATTAGTCTCTGAATACAATTCATCATATTAGTCTCTGAATACAATTCATCATATTAGTCTCCGAATTGAAAAGACCAAACAAAGATAGAGCATTATATTACAAGTCTCGAGACCGCGAGTAGCGAGTTTGTCTTCACATTACAAGTCGATATCGATCATCTAAACTACCATCACATAGAAGAGAGCTGCGGTCATCACGATGAGCATCATCACGATGAAACTCGTCTTCATCCAGTTCCTCCAACGCTCCCTCCCCTCTCTCGCTAGATAGCGGGCGTATCTAGATTCGGCCTCGGCCCTAGTGGTGTACCCTTTGTAATTGTTACCGCTGAATCGATGAACCTGTCTCCGACACTCCTCCCAGTCGTCGTAGACTCCGGGAACCTTACCCTTGTACACGACATACGACCAGGCCCGGCCCGGATGGGGGGGCAGGGGGGAGGCCGCCCCGGGCCCCCAAAATCCAGGGGCCCCTCCCCGGCCGGCATGCAGGTAGCCAATGTGCTAGTGCTTAAAAAACTATGGATTGTGGATCGTGTTAGGAAGGCAGCCAGGCGTTGACGCCGGCAGATTAGCAATTCATTCATTGTCTCAAAAAAAAGCAATTCATTTCTATTCCTTTTCTTTTGGTGAATCGACTCCTTCCTATTCCATCACGTACAAATTTTTGCGCCGTACATCTGCTCTAGTACGCCGCCGTCCTGGTCCTTTTCTCCTAAATTCCGATCGCCAGTTCGTCCTCTCGTCAATCTATTTCCGGGCACCTAGATCTCCAGACTAGTACGCGACGGCGCTCTGCTCTCCCGCCTTCAGGCGCTAGACAAGCGCACACTCATCGCTGATTCGTCAAATTCTAGATCCAAACGCAAACGAGTACACATCGCATCAATCCAAGGTATGTTACCGTTCCCTAATCCCTACTCTCTATACATATATTACTATAATTAAGTAATTTATTTACCCCTCGCATATATTTTCACCTAGGTGAAAATTGAATATAATGTGTGGATGACCCGATACAATCATAAAGAGAAGCTATTAATAATTTGTTCAAGAGCAGTACTAGTGCTTAGATGAACCCAAATAATCAGTTGACAATAGTTGACAATAATCGGATGGTGTAACTCTATTGAGTAGTTTTTACTATGTCAGAGAGTTTGATTGTTAACCTAATGTCTCTATTGTTTATTACATCTTATTTACAGTGCCCGTGACTATCACAACGGCTAAAAGAAAATTTTCTATGTTAAATTATTGAGGAGGTCAACAATGACCCATGAATTTAAATGGTTTGGCAACAATTAATGTGTATCGAGAAGAAATTATTGGAAGAATTGACATCAACCACATTATAAGTGAATCTGCATCTGGCAATGATAAAAAAGTAAAGGTAATATGTATAATTACTTGATACGTATACCCTTTTTGCGTATATTTAAGTGCTTGCTGGTAACATTTCATATATACATATATTCATTATTATTATTTGTGTTTATACTAAGGGCCCTGAGGTTTAGTTTCGCCCCGGGCCCCCAAAATCTCAGGAACGGCCCTGCATACGACGGCATCGCTATGCACTAGCCAAACGAAACATTAGTACCAATTTACAGACAATACATAAGTAATATATAAGTATGCAACAGAACGATCGGAAGAGAAAAACAAGACATTAATAGCATCGATTACATCTAAGTTGAACGACTCTCGAAACCAAAGAGACATACTACAAGTTCATTAAATTTAATTACAACATGAGCCAATCGATGTTTCAGAATTAGACATAGCATCACTGATTTCGACTCGACTCAACGGACCGGAGCGTGGATGAAGCCGCCGTCTATCGTGGGAGTCATGAAAGAACGGGCGTTGTCAGCCTGCATTTGTAGCATTGTGTCGATGTCACTGTTGGACGGTTGATTTCTGAGGTAGAACTGCCCCGAGGTACGAAGGACATCTTGATGGATGATTTCCGCAAACTCCGACTGGATGCGAAAGAATTCTTGTCTGATGTCCGCGTCCTGGATTGCCGACACGCTCGCGGCCCAATCTTTGAGTTTACTCGGTAGCAGAAGTTGATGATGGTCCCGTACGATCGCCCGCATGTGATGGATGGCGTAGTACGCACCCTTCTGACCGCCAGGCGGCTGCTTGACGCAGCAGAACGTCGTATTGTGGGAGAACACGTGCTTGCCGTACTTACGAATAGGCCTGGTGAAGGTGCCTCCAGATTTGGCGTAGCCGGGGAGAACATCATCAAGAACCTTCTTGACATTTGTGTAGTCTATGTTCGACTGACGGTCCGGGTCGAAATACATGGCCATGGAATATTTGGGGCTTAGGAGGATGAGCGTGCAATGTGTGTCACTGCAGAAAACACGGATTGTTAAAAGAAAAATGATCGAAATCTAAGAATTCATATGTTACGGGCCGGTTGAGGGGAGGACTTACTCGGGAAAGTAAGGCACGAGGAAGTTATCCTTATCTTGGTTTGCCAGAATGACGCCTTCGAGGTAAGAACTCGCGACTTGCCGGTCCCCAGCGCTGCCCAAGATCTTGGCACGCATGTAGAAGGGGTCGACTATCACGATGTCCGGGGTCTTGTCGCGAATGATCCGCATCTCCATACTCAGCGAAAATAGCCGAACGAAGGTGTAGTGCAGCGGATGAAGGTTCAACATAGCGTGGATGTCATCAAACCGCAGGATGATCGTACGCCCGATGGAGTTATCCACAAAGCCCTTGCCCTCTGGCACCTTGGCCGTGAAAACCGAGTATGCCACATCCTTCTCTCTGAGACGTCGCTTCTCCAAAGAAAGAACACTGTCATGCAGACTCCGCATAGCACCGGTTGCAGCATTGAGCATATTTGTCGGTAGCATCGCCCTACCCGCCACATGCACCCTCCTCGAGATATCCTTAGGTGAAGGTGGCCCGTCCTGAGCACGGATCATACTCGGTGCCGGCTGGCTCGCACCTTTGTTAGTCTTTCTTTTGCGTGCCTTCTTCTTCTCCTGTAATGGGACCGAGTTCTGCTCACAGACCGCCTTCTTGAGTGTGTTGGGACTGATAATATTTTGCACCTCGCCTATCTGAGGCTCGGTGAAGTCGGCAGCTGGAGGCGTCTCCTGAGAGCTGAATGGCAGACAACGCCTGTTGCAACTTGGCTTCTCCGCGGTACCAGCTAGATCGCGCACGTCTTTTGTTGGGTTGGGTTCTTGAGAAGGAGGCCCCATGAAGTCGCCATCGTACCCATGTTTGGCAAAGTACTGATCGACGTTGCCAAATGTATCGTCGTCGTCGTCGTTCTGATCTTGTGCCATATGCATGTTTGGATCCAGTGGCATAGGGATGTCCGGCACCGTTGCGGCGGTCTTGCCATGGGGCCGACTTGGCGCCGGCACGACTGGCGGTGTTGTCTTTGGGTGGTGTCCCCCGCCCCCAAACGAATCTGGCTCTTCGGCCAAAGCAGGGGCCAGCTTAGGCAGGCGCTGAGAGTCATCACGTCATCATTGTCGGCCCCGACGGGTCGA